TTCCTGTTTAAAGGGACTTTTTTTCTCCACCATCGCTGCATGATTGCTTGGTGAGATGGATTGCTACAGACTGAAAGAAGCTGAGTCATTAAATGTCAAATATATTCAGATATTTAATACATTTAACAATGTTTTAAGCTCCATGGGACCAACACTAGAGGTCAAAGGTTAGAAATGGTTCTTTAAACCCTGTGAGTCAGCAGTCAGCTAAGCTAATGATCAACCCTCTGTGTTTGACTGCAGAGATCAGTTCATCATCTGTCCCTCAGTGCAGATGGCTCGCCACTGGGCCGCCAGTGGAGCCAACGTCTTCCTGTACCACCAACCCGCCTCCAGCGCTCAGGACAGGTATGGAGAACACACTGACCGAGGGAAGCAGTCCTTACTGCTCTTCACACCAGCTGAACCTCACGGCAGCTAAGAGGGAAAATACCGAGACATGAGAACCGGATCGGATCAGAAGCCAGAATTTGTGTCTGCTTGTTTTTTGCAGAGCCGATATCTCCGTTCCTTTGGACGTTCAGTTGATGTTTGGGGTTCCACTTCAGCCAATCAGCTCTCAGCGTTTTACCTCCTCAGACCGCCGCCTTTCTTTGGCTGCCATGACCTACATCTCCAGCTTCACGCGGACCGGGTCAGGCCTCCAGACGGTACTTTAACCAGTCCAGCAGGACCACAGCTGAGCTGATCTCTCCTGGTTTTGTTTTAGGAACCCGAACCCATCCCGTGTGTGGATGGACTCAGTTCTGCCTCGCTGGCAGCCGGTCTCCACCTCTGATGCTCCACCCACCTACCTGGAATTAAGCCCCGCCCTCCAGCATCGACAGGGTCTGAGGCAGAACTCCTGTTCTTTCTGGAGCCAACTGGGAACCAGACTGACCAGTCAAACAGGTTACAGTGTGTAGCTGTCGTTGAAATTTGGCTTCGATCAAACAATAAATCAGTTTGCTTTTAATTTCACTCAATTTTCCTTTATCCTCAATCAAAACTGACCATCAGTCACCAAACGACATGTTCGCACTGCTTCAAATTATTTCTTCTTCTGCTGATTACCTGTTCCATTATCTGTCTGCAGGTGAGTCGGGGGCGGAGCCCGTCCAGACCGCGTTGACCCCTGAGCTCCCACTGGCTGCGCCCTCCAGCCAATCACTGACAAAGAAGGACGCCTACAACTGATGTCATCATCAGCAAAGAAGACAGAAAATCACTCTACATTTCCCATAATTCAGTTTGATTCACACGTTTCTGCGGCTCTTTTCTGTTCCCAATCATCAATAAACGCATCATAAAGAAAATGACGTGTGTTTTGTTGTTGGGAGGGATTTTAGGAGGGAGGGGTTGCCCAGAAAGTGATTACAATTTCTTTAAGGTATAAATGTACTGAGGGCAATATCTCTCCATCTTAGGACGTTAAATTAATTTGAACCTTATTTCTTGCAAACTAAACAGCATCTTTACGCATCCCTAATAAATAAAATCATTTTTTGTCTCAGTGATAGAAATCAGCAGAATCTACTCCTTTGGTCTCTGGAGTTTCAACAACACCATTTGAAAAAGGTCTAACTTCTGTAATTATTCCAGAGATTATAATTTTTTCTGGCTGTAAATCCAAGAAGACAGACCCTGACCCTAACTGAAAGTGCAGGGGATTAGGCCACGCCCCCTCTGGGTAAAAAACAGCAGGTCAAACGACTGGAAGACGAACAGATATCGAATTTCTCGCTTTACTGACAGCAATCCTGATCCTTCGCAGTTTAGAATCCTTCCTGCTTCAAAGGAACCATCGAGCTCCAAGAGTGTTTCATTTTTTGTTTGTTTTTTAAATGGAAATGAACGTGACTAAATGAAAAATAATTAACCCTAAATTGGGGTGCATGCGTGGATCCCAATAAAGCTAAAAACTGTATCGGTGCGCGTGTCGTTTGAAGAAAGTCATGTGACCGATCCAGGAGCTGTTTCTAACTGACCGACTCACTAAACTCTGTTTACATTAAATAATCAAGAATTTTGGAGCCTAAAAGGAATATGAACGTTGCATTTGTCATTTAAATGATCTGAATTAAAGTTAATTTCAAATTGACTCTTAGTTTATTTACTGCTTTTACCTTACTTATTGATTTAAAATCCTCGTCCAGCAGCATTATTCACATTTTCCCCTAAATTTTCTCGTTATGATCAATGTTTACTTTACTGGCTGCATCTAGAAATATCAAATATATTTTCAATTTAATTATAAATATGAAATAATAAAATATAACCTACAACAACTTAAATTATATCATTGTACTAGGTAGGTAAATCACCTGAGGAAAGCTGCTCCCACCTTCTTCAAATCAGACGAAACGGGCGTCAATAAACTCGGCTCCGTTTGTGCAGCAAACATTGTCGTTTGTGCTTCTTTGGCTTTGAAGATATTAATAAAAATGCAAAGGTCAAAAGGTCAATCAGCCCCCCCACTTTCCTCAAATTAGACAAAATTAGTGTCAAACGTTTGTGTTAAAGTTGTGTTGGTTTGTGCAGCAAAAACAGATGTTAACTGATCTTTGATGACGTCTACAAAATATTATTAATATCATTAAAATGATAGCAGTACAAATGAAAATTTTTGCTGTACAAAAATATACAATTTTAACATTTATTTTAAATATAAAATATTTAAAATAAATATATTAAAATTTAAAATGCATATTTTGAAATATATTTTTGTACTGCTATCATTTAAATGATATTACCAATTGTTTGTAGAAGCCATCAAAGGTCAGTGAACATTTGCTGATTCTGAAACTCTGAATTTCATATAAATTATAAGTTGCTAACCTAAAATTATATAATTTTAAACTGTAAAAAAAAATTATAGTGACACAAACGAAAATTTTTGCTGCACAAACATCTGACACTAATTTTGTCTGATTTGACGAAGGTGGGGGGGCCAACTTCACTCAGACCCCCTGCCGTTCACCCTGATGACGCACGACTGCGTCCCCAGGTTCACCACCGATCACATGGTGAAGTTTGCAGACGACACCACGGCGGTGGGCCTCATCAGAGACGACAACGACCTGGACTACAGAGAGGAGGTGGAGCAGCTGGTGGAGCAGAGATAACAGCCTGATCCTGAAGGTGGAGAAGACCAAGGAGATCATGGTGGACTTCAGGAAGAAGCGGCCTAACCACGCCAGCTGAGCTGCTCATCAACGGCTCAGCTGTAGAGGTT